GTCTCTAAGGTGCTCCTGGGTTCGGTTCTGGCTGTCCTGCTGCAGACCAACACGGCTCCCCTCGGAAACCACCCTGTTGGCGGGACAGCAGTGGGAATCCACATGAGGGAATGTGAGGTCCCGTGGGTACCCACTTGGGGTCATGAGAGTTCAGTAACTCTCCTCTGAAGCCTTCCGTTGTCACAACAAGTAATTTGTGATGAGCTGTACTTTGAAGACAAAGTGCTCTGGCTCCATCCAAGACTGCTTGTCACAGCAGTGATAGATCAAGGGTTTCGCTGCCTTTCTTCTCAAGACTGGGAGCGCTCTGGACACAGACGTGTTTGGCGAGGACACTGGGAGCAGGCGAATTCACCTTCGAACATGCAGAGCTTCTTTTAACCCAGCCAGACCATCGTCCCGTCTTACCCAGCCTCGTCTACTCTGACCGGCAGCAGCTCATCAGAGTCGAGGTGTAGGTTCCCGCAGTTACGTGCAGCCCTTTTAAGCTGAGACGCTGGGCCTTGAACCTGGGGCCCATTGCATGTCTTTCCCACTTCACGGCCTTCTGTATCCTGCCCTGGGTGTGGCTTCTCCAAGGGGGTGAGCTCACAGGCAAAAGGGAACCAGCCGTCTCTCAGACAGTGACAGCCTTACCAGGGGTCCAAGTCAGGTGGCAGATGCGGGGCACCATTAAAGACAGCAGCTCTGACCCAGAGGGGACAAGCTACTGGCTTGATTGAGCTCCAGTGGGGCTTTGGGCATGAGAACATTTGGTAGATTGCTCCACGGGGCAATGAGTCTCCCTGTTTATGGTGCCATTTTGGTTTTCCACCTCTGGACCAGATCTGCTCCCAATTTCTTAGAGACTCTGCAAGGTCGTTGGGAACCCAGGGTGCTCGAAAGAGGACTTCTTCCTTCCCTGAGCGTACCCCACCTCCTGAATGGGATAACGGGATGAAAACCATCACGCAACTGTTCTGCCCTGCTCAAATCCAGCCTTCAAAAGAGTCAGGAATGTCTTCCGTTCAACTCAAAGTGCCAAGCAGCTTATTCGAAGAAATTGAGAGAATGGCATCAGCAGATAAGCTAAACCAGTTATCCGAGTCATTCAGTCATCTGAACTTTTACCTGCCTCTGATTTATCTAAATCATAAGCACAAAATACTAAAGACGTGGCAGGCCTCGGAATGTGCTTCCCTTTTAAAAAGTGAGTTCCCAGTGGGCAGATAAAGCCCCCATTCCATTTTGGGGAGAAAAAAATCTGGTCAGAGGGAAGGGCAGTATCCATGCCTCCCCCTGTGCTACAGTGGTCCTGACCAGAATCAAGCCCCTGTGGTGTAAAGGAGTTCCTGGCTAGAAACTACCATAAGGGAACCATGCAATTTTAACACAAGAAACAAAGCAAGATTGTGTAAACTGTTTCACTGAAGCACATGCGTGTTAGAACTAAACCAGATGTATAGTACAGCCTGCCTTGCCCTGGGTAGCCCAGGCTAGCCAGATCTTAGAAGCTAAGCAGGGTCACACCTGGCTAGTATTGGATGGGAGACCTCCAAGGAATATCCAGGTTGTGACCTGAAGGCAGGCAATGGCAAACCACTTCTGAACATCTCATGCCTTGAAACCCCCACCAGGGGCCGCCGTAAGTCAGCTGTGCCTTGCTGGCACTTTCCACCACCACAGTGCAGCTGTGTTCAGACACCACGCTAACTCGCTTTTATGGTCCACCTTTCCTACTGAGACTCAAGCTAGATTCTGGGCCGGGGTGGGGTGGGGTGGCGGCATAAAGTTTCCATTGCCTCTGTGGTGTTGCAGAGGCACAGTAGCGAAAAGGGGAAGGAATGGGGTGGTGGCAGCAGTGAACAAGGAAAAAACTGGGCGTGGGGACACCAAAAAATTCCTGCTGCTTCTCACCCGACTTGCTGCCACGGCCATAGTGGGAGCATGTTTTTGTACTTCCGTGAAGATACAGTCCTCGTTTCCCAAACGAACTGTACTTCAAATAAACCCTGTCTCTGTGTTGTGTCTGAACCCGGCCTGTATGCTTGCCACTGAAAATGGCAGCCCTGGGTTTTTCTCCGTGCTTCCCTTGTCATTCTATCGTGACACTTCGTAACTCATTATGAATGAGTTCTGTTTGTATGCCACTTTTCATCAGTCATGGGGTTTTCAATATGGCTCTGAGGCCTGAGTGAACACCGTCGCAAACAGGCTGCTAGGCTGCAGTCCTGTGCAGACCGGCATAACGCTGCCTAGGATTGCACTGTAACCCCCAGACTATGAAGTTCCTGGCTGGAAAACCTCAGAGTGGTTGTAACCAGAGTCACTATCCCTAGGCCACCATTTTTGTATACATGAACTAAGAGTTCCAGAGATATTTCCGGCGGCATTCACTTGCTGACATCAGTTTGGTGTAGTGGTTAGGAGCACAGACTCTAATCTGGGAGAACCGGGTTTGATTCCCCACTCCTCCACTTGCAGCTACTGGATGACCTTGGGCAAGCCATAGTTCTCTCAGAGCTGTTCTCTCAAGAGCAGTCCTCGAAAGAGCTCTGTCAGCCCCACCTACCCCACAGGGTGTCTGTTATGGGGAGGGGAAGGGAAATGAGTTTGTAAGCCACTCTGAGACTCCGAGTGAAGGGCAGGGTATACATCCAATCTCTTCTCTTCTTTAGGCTGTGTGTTTTCCAGAAAACGGTTTATTTTGTTGCCTGCCATTCGTTGCCACCCTGAACTGATCTCTTAATCTCACCAGCAATTCTCATGTAAAAAATTTCGATCTTGGATTCACCCTATAAATGCATTATCTAAAGCCCGATTCCCAAGTTACAGTGAAGGCACGTATATCCTGCCTGTATTGGCAGCCAGCATGCATTCACTTTACAGATGAAACCAAGGGCCAGTACCTTGACAAGTGTGGTCTTTAAATCACATGTTCAACTTTACAGGCGTTGAATGTAGCATGAGAATCACACAACACATGTACAAAGAAAAATCAAGATCACTCTGTACGTGAATCGTACGTGTGTTCACTGTAACTTATGAACAGGGCTTAAGTTGGAGGTTAAAATTAGTTTGAAAGTTGCTGTTCCAGGAGTCCTGAGTGTGCCGCAGGCCTTAGACAGCTCCTGAGTGAGTGAAGCCATGGGGGTTACTCCTTATCTGGAGTGGGTGATTTGTCAGGTGGAGAAAAGGCAGGGAGCTGGATGGATGGAAAGATCAAGGGCTTGGACAGGGAATGGGAGGGCAGTTTGGGGGGAAGGGAAAAGAATTCTCAAATTGGTAAATGTTTCAGTCACATAAAGTCTCCATTTCCAGGATGCTGAAAATGTCGAGGGCAGAGGTTTTCAGACCGCGTTCCAGGATGAGAAGCAGGGAAACCACAAATTTCTTGTGGAGCATGTTGGATAGTCAGATTTACCCCATTCGACTGTGATGATTAGACACGAGCCATGTTTTTTTTAGTTTGGCATCAAACAGCCCAAACAGCTGCCGAGCAAATTTAAATCAGGTGTTGCTGTTTTTTCTTCATATGAAACTTCACATGCAAAAATGCTGCTGATCCAAACAGATCCTCAGCCACGAAAGTTGCTAAGGTCAACTTAGATGAAAATTGAATGGCATGATTTCTTTAAACACAGCGTTTACTTAGGACTGATTTCTACGATTTGTGACTGATTGGACTGTCTGTGTAAACAGTCACCTCCCCAGCAGAGCAGTGGCACAGAAAGGGGGAGGAAATCAGACTCCGTGGGGCTGGGTGAGAGAACACACCGTTTGGTGTCGTGGTGAAGTGCGCGGACTCTCATCTGGGAGAACCGGATTTGATCCCCCACTCCTCCACTTGCACCTGGCTGGGTGACCTTGGGCAAGCCATAGCTCTGATAAGAGCTGTCCTTGAAAAAAAAGAGCCGTTTCTGTCAGAGCTCTCTCAGCCCCACCTCCCTCATCGGGTGTCTGTTGTGGGGAGGGAGAGGAGTTTGTAAGCCGCTCTGAGACTCCTTTCAGTAGTGAAGGGCGGGGTATATATCCAATCTCCTCCTCCTCCTCTTCCTCTTCTTCTTCTCCTCCTCCTCCTCCTGCTCCTCATACGCCGGAAAGCCAGTTGCGCAATATTTTGCTAGTTAGGAAGCAGCAGTCGAAGCAGCTTGTCGAACAGGTACAGACGGGTGCTCCACCATGCATTGTGGACTTTGTTCTCGTTGGGGCCACAGGTGCCTGGCGGATGCCGAAATGGGTGGTGAACCAAAAAACTTTCTAATGCGTTGTGGCTCAAAAAAACCAGGGAAGCAGGGTTTTTTAGCAGGGGGTGCTGGAATGCACACCTCTTGATGTGACTGTCAGTAATGAGGGGTGATTCTGAGGTTCGGGACAGAGCTGGATGTGAGCTGGGGGAGGGTTGGCGATTTAAAAATATTCGAGTGATACGCATCCGTTGGGTTTAAGTTTTATGGTTTAAGGTTTAAGTCCCAGCACACACACACACACACACAATGGGACCCAATGCGGTGGGTGCAGTGAGCACTTTTTGGTGATTTTGCCACTCCAGGTAGCAAGTGGAGGGTCAGCGTGATGAAGGGCTGTCTTACGAAAAACAACTACCAAGAAGGCGGCTTGCGCAGAGCTCTTCTCCCCAAGATGCTTGTTTTGTAGCGTGCTGACTGAAATGGGGCAGCCTAGATTGGAGGCTGACCTGTAGATCTCAGCATAGGGGGAGTGTGCATGCCGTGTAAATGGGACATGATATGCCTAGCACATGGGCGCGTCACTGACAAATGCAGAAGTCTTCCCGGAAGATGAGACAGTTTTAAAAACAATCACTCTGCGAGACAGCTGACGTTCATCACGGAGCATTTTTGAAAATCCTCAACCAGGCAACCGCTGTGTCGTGGCAAAGTGAAGGGAATGCCTGCTGCTGTTTTGTGGCCTGTTAAGGGAGGGTGGGCCGAGGGCGTGTGCATGTCTCCCTGTGGCGGAGGAGCCCTTTTTCCTGACTGTCCCTTCTTTTGTTCCTCAAGCTGATCAGTGGCGGTTCTATTGTAAGCGCTGAGGCAGTATGGGATCACGTCACCATGGCCAACCGGGAGTTGGCGTTTAAAGCAGGAGACGTCATCAAAGTCCTGGATGCCTCCAACAAGGACTGGTGGTGGGGTCAGATTGATGACGAAGAAGGATGGTTTCCCGCCAGCTTCGTAAGGGTGAGTGTCTCCCTCTCTCTTCTTCTTCCTTAATGTTATTAATGTTATTGAACATTTCTTCCATGCCCCGGGGGCTGCTAGAAGCTAGTGGCCAGTTCTTGGTGTCGAGAGCCAGTTTGGTGTCGTGGTTAAGTAAGGTAAAGGTAAAGGTTCCCTTGCTCGAAAGCCAGTCGAATCCAACTCTAGGGTTGCGGTGCTCATCTCCGTTTCAAAGCCGAAGAGCCAGCGCTGTCCGAAGACGTTTCCGTGGTCATGTGGCCGGCATGACTAAACACCAAGGCGCACGGAACGCTGTTACCTTCCCACCGAAGTGGTACCTATTTATCTACTTGCAATTTCTTGCTTTCAAACTGCTAGGTTGGCAGGAGCTGGAACTAGAGACAGGAGCTCACCCTGTCTTGCGGCACCCGGGTCTTGAACCGCTGAACTACTGACCTTCCACAGCCTGCAGTTCAGCGTCTTAACCACTTGAGCCACCGCAGCACGGACTCTAATCTGGGAGAACCGGGTTTGATTCCCCACTCCTCTGCTTGCACCTGGCTGGGTGACCTTGGGCAAGCTGTAGTTCTGATAAGAGCTGTCCTTGGAAAAATAGAGCCGTTTCTGTCAAGAGCTCTCTCAGCCCCAGCTACCTTGCAGGGTGTCTGTCTGTTGTGGGGAGGGGAAGGGAAAGGAGTTTGTGAGCCGCTCTGAGACTCCTTTGGGTAGTGAAGGGCCATGGGGTATAAATCCAATCTCTTCTTCCTCTTCTTCTTCTTCTTGCGTGAAGGAAATGCATGGGCATTATTAGAAGGTGGCCTGGGTCAGGGTGGGGGCAGGCTGGGGGTGGCACCTGGTGGGTCAGGGGAAGATCCCCTCACCCTCTGGGTCAAATCCTGAGAAGCATGCACGTGTGTGGACAGGGCCAGTCCTTGGGCCAGCCCCCCAAATGACACACCACAGGAGCCTGCCTCACTCCCAGCCATCAGTGGCGAAGCTTGGCTTAGAGCTGGCTGGTAGCAGCATAAGCCGAGGAGGTGAGGGGTGTCCCTTGCGCGGGGTGACAGAATACCTTGAACCAGCCCGTGTGTGGAGCAAAGGAGAAAAGCTCTCAAGCCTAAAGGGAACTGTACCAACCTGATATTTCAGCCCTTGCAGTGGAGACCGAGACCTTTTCCGCACACTCGACTCGCTCCTGATTTTCTTGGCAGTCGATCCACAAGCATCGGAATCAGTTGGGGCAGTGTTCTTCTGCACGTCTGCCCTCCCTGTGCATTTTCACAGCCGTGGAGTAGGGATGCCAGCCTCCAGGCGGGACCTGGGGACCCCCTGGAATTACAGCTCATCTCGAGACTCCAGAGATCAGTTCTCCTGGAGAAACTGGATGCTTTGGAGGGTGGACTCTATGGCATTGTGCCCCACTGAGGTCCCCGTCCTCCCCAGGCTCAATCTCCACATCTTCAGGAGTTTCCTGACCTGGAGCTGGCAACCCCACCCCCCCATCCCCTCCCAGTGGCCGGGGGGGGCTGGCAACCCTGTTCTTCAGTCAGTTTCTTTTCTTCTGCATGTGCCTTCAAGGGAGGGGGCTGTTGTCATCGGTGGTGGCATCAGTGGCATCACATCACCCACACACACACACAGTACCCCCCCTATTTTTTTTTAAAGGACCTAAAATGTCAATATAGTAATCATAGTTCAGGAAGGTTCTCTGAATTCCCGGCTTTCATTTAAAAAAAGAAATCAGGCTCCTTCCCTCGTGGAGATGTAAGGAAAAAGGCATATCTTGGCAAGGGGAGGGAACAGAGACTTACTTAAAAACAAACAAACTGGGAATTCAGAGAACCTGCTTAAACTATCACTACAGCACTATACAAATATATCGACGTTTTAGTTCTGTTTTTAGAAACCCCTCATCTTTGGGGTGTGGGTGGGGGAGTTGTTTGACCACAACAGTGCAGTCATCGAAACGTGGACTGGAGGTGGGTGGGAGTGAAGGGGGGGGGCTTTAAATTTGCTTCCTGAAAAACATTGGGGTAAAAGTAATCTCAAATGAACTGGGAGAAAAAGCAGGGGGGAAATAAACTGAAGTAAAAACTAAAGGCACAAAAATGTATGTGGAGATCATGGAACAAATAAAGCAAAGCAACGTGGGGGTCAGAATGAACAGAAAAAACCCTATGTGGAAAAACCCTGTGAGGAGCCTCAAAACTCTGAAACTTCAGGCAAAATCCTGAATCCTGGAACACCTGGGAAAGACAAGGGAATCCCCATTTCAATGCTTGAAGAACACAGCACTGGAAAAATAGGATGGCCCTTCTGTATTGTTTATAAAATGTAAAGTTGCATTTTTATACATCACAATTTTGAAAGTTCTTCAAAAATGGCACTTTGGTAATAAGTTTCATATTTTGTCGGCAGTGATTATACCTTTCTATCTGCAAACCCTAAAGATTTAGTGGGGAGGGGGAGGCCTATCATGTGGATGAGTTCCCTTCTGCATGTGCCTTCAAGGGAGGGGGTTGTTGGCATTGGTGGTGGCATCGGTGGCATCACATCACCCCCACACACACAGTACCCCCCCTTATTATTTTTTTTAAAGGACCTAAAATATCAATATAGTAATCATAGTTCAAGAAGGTTCTCTGAATTCCCGGCTTTCATTTAAAAAAAGAAATCAGGCTCCTTCCCTCGTGGAGATGTAAGGAAAAAGGCATATCTTGGCAAGGGGAGGGAACAGAGACTTACTTAAAAACAAACAAACTGGGAATTCAGAGAACCTGCTTAAACTATCACTACAGCAGGCGCACAGAACTCTGTGACCTTCCCACCGAAGCGGTACCTATTTCTCTACTTGCAATTTCTTGCTTTCGAACGGCTAGGTTGGCAGGAGCTGGGGCCAGAGATGTGTCACTCTGTCACACGGCACCAGGGTCTCGAACTGCTGGGATCCGATGCTTTCTGAAGCCGACAAGAGGTGGCATAATAATGGAAGCTTTTCTTCCCATGTCTGAGGTAAAAGTGTCCCTATCGGATTTCTAGGCCATTTGACTAGCTTTGCGCTGGGACGTGCAGGACACACAGCACTTTGGGTGGGTGGTCCCCCCTCCCCGTTGGCCCACCCGGCTGATCTTCCTGATCTCAGGCAGAGCACCTTGGATTCCATCTTCTTTCCCCCCTGCTGGTCCACAGTGTCAGCCAGGGATGATGAGTGACTATGATGGAGAAATCACCCCACGCTGTGGAGGGGCTGGGGTGGGAAGTATCTAACAGCGGCTTCAGAGAAGGCATTTCTCTTGGGGAAATTGCGCCGCGAGAAAGGCTGAGCCGCACTTTCTCTATCGGGCTGGCCCCAATTCACATACAGCTGCTCTGAAACTTTTACACACACACACCCAAAGTCAGGAGATCTGATTGTAGATCTCCCTTGCAGAGTTCTATTAAAATTTGGGGCACATCCTCCGTGGACGTATCAGTCAGCTTTGCCCCAAAGGCATGCCGAAAAAAAAACGAGGATAGTCAGGGCATCCTTGCATGTTTCCAACAAAAGTACTTCTTCCCGTTACGGACACATCTCTGAATAGAAAACGGTCCTGCAAGTTTGCTGCGAAAGCTGGCTGTGAGTGGCCCTGGTCCCTGGAGCCTCCTGGCCCTGGTCCCTGGAGCAGCGTGGCAGCTGTTTCATTTGGAGGTTTGATCTTTTGTGCCCCGCCTTTCTCCCTAAGGGGGACCCAAGGCAGCTTACATCGTTCTCCTCTCCTCCATGTTATCCACACGACAACCCTGTGAGGCAGGTTAGGCTGAGAGAGTGGGACTGGCCCAAGGTCACCCAGCAAGCTTCCATGGCATGAATGGGGATCCGAACCCAGGTTTTTCTTTAAAAATCCCATTTTATACAATAAACGTTAAAGGCCAGAGATGTTTCAGAATCTTTAAGGATGGTGGGCAGCCTGCCCGAGGCCTATGGGAAGGGGTAAGATTGACAGCTGAGCCCCCCCCCCCCGTGCCATACAAGGTGCAGGGCTGTCAAATCAATGGCCAGACCAGGAGGTGGCACCAGGACTCGTGTCCACAGCAAAGGACCTGCTGTGAGTTCCCTTGAAGTGCCATGTTTGCTTTCACTCTGTGGCTCTGCGGTCAGTGCCAGTTCAAAGAAATTTAAACCAAAGCCTCTTTCTCCGAAGATCAAAGGACAAGTTTCAAATCCGCAGAAGCAGCACATAAACGACAACTCCATGAGCTACCGTCCACCTGCCGCCCAACTAGGAGGTGGTGAAAAGAGGCGGCCAGGTTGTTCCTCTCGAAAATCATTAATCTTCGACGTGGTCTCTGTGCTTCACACCTATGGGATCTAGTGCGCACGCGCTGGATCGATCGGCATTGTAGCAAGCTCTTTAACGGATTTTCGCGCCCAGTCCCTCGGGTATGCGCATGCCCAGAGGGGTGGGTGCGGTCATCCCGCCAGTTCCTTTCTTACCGCCGCGTTGGAAAGACCTCTTTCTTCATCGGTCTGATCGGTTCGCGTGTTTTGGCTTTTTGCCTCACGGCTCTTTGGATCTTTTCCTCAGTTTATTCCTTTTTTTCGTTGTTCTTTCAAAAAACTTAAAAAAAACCCTTTTATTTTCTGCTGAGGGGGAGGTTGCCGCTTTACCTCAGTCGGGCCTTCGGGCTACCCCCCCACCCCTTCTTTCGTCTTCATTTTGGTTTTTATGGAGAAGAAGTGGGGCTTTTTTAATAGGTG